ATTCCCATCTCCAGGCAGGACGGTAATGCCGAATATTAGAGTTTATGGAAATCCGCCGCCCCGGCCGACTTCTCTCCTTCCAACCGCCGTCAAGTTTAACGTCCAGATCTGTTATGTTTTATCTCCAGCGCTGGACGGGCGATGGTGATTTTATAGTCTGTCATCAGTCTGCAAAAGCCCCCTCACTTAGTGCACATTAGATTACAGAGGGCCTGTTTGCTCATGTGTGCTTGTGATGCACAAACAAACACTCTAAGCTGTTCGGTAAATTAGCGAAAAGTGTGCGGCGCGCACTCGTATATGAATATGCGCACAGCAAATGAGTCCATTAGCGCTGGCAGTGGCCGCCCGTGTACTAAAGCGAGCGAGCATGTGTATGTGATTTTTACATTCGAGTGTCCCTTAATGATTTGCAGTTGTGTATTTGCGTTGTGTTTTTTTTTTTTCTTTTTCCGTGATGAATGGCGCGATTACGCAAGCGCGGTTTCTGCGTGTGTGTACATTAGCCCGGGTGTGAGTTATTAGCCTCTGTCTGCATCTGCAGTGTGATAAATGTATAGCCAGTGTTAACTTTTGTGTACACACTCCTGGAGTGTATCAACAGTGAGTGTGCAGCGTATTGACCAAGCAACAAAATGAACTCACTGTGTGTATGCATGCATGTGTGTGTGTGTGATTTGAGTGATAGCGTGGCGTCCTGGATGGCCTGTGTGTGTGTGTGTGTGTGTGTGTCGGTGCTGTATTATCTCTGGCGGGGCGTGTGCAGGGGGCCTTGGGGCGACTGTGCGCAGGAGATAAGGGTGATTCATCTGTGTTTGAACGTTTTGTGTGTGTGTGTGTGAGCATGTTTGTGCTTCGGAGGCATGTGTTTGGTGTGTGTGTGCGCGAGCATGTGAACCGCTAATAAACGTGGCTACATATGCTGGAGTCGGTGTCACGCGTGTGCGTTTGGAGGTGTGGGCGTGCTAAAGCGGTGCTGTGGGGATGCGAGGCCCGCTGGCGCTGGTTCCTCCCTGCAGGTGGTCCATATAATAATATAATAACACACAGCTTCTCTATTGTTCGGCATTAGCTTAGAGCAGCTTCGTTCTTTGGATGCATTACCCCGCCGCCGCCCCCCTCCCCTCCTCTGCTCACATTACTCCTGTACTGGCACCTTTGGGCGACTATTGTGCACACACACAATATATATTTACACGAATGTTTGTAACCGTGCCAGGGATTACACACAAAACCCTTCATACACATTTCCATGTATGTAGAAATGAAGTCACATGTGACATATACAAACACGCACATAAATGTACATGCCGCACGTGCATGCATGGAATCTGTGTAAGATTGTGGCGACACATCCTACATTGGCAAGCTCCTGTTTTAAAAAATTGGAATAAGCAGAGCCTAGAGATGCCCCATATATATGTATTTCTGCAGATAGAATTCAAAGACGATTAGGAAAATAAAAGAAAAAGTTGGCGAAACAGAATATCTTCCAGAACAGGAGCAGCTTTTTTTGTTTCCTCTTACAGACATGCATTGTCTAGAGATGCATAAAAAATGACCGCACCAATTAAAAAAGAAAAAAAGTCTGAAATTGAGAACATTGCTTTTCTTGATTGATGAAGATGTCGCCCCGGCAGACAAAGACGTTTCACGCGGCCATCAATCCTGCTTGTTTTTTAACAGATGAAAATGAAACCGAGTCAAAAGCAAAGCGTGCAGAATGAACATAGATGGAGGGGGAAAAAAATCTAGTAAACCTGCTTTAAGTGAAGCTTTAGTGTCAGTTTTACAGACTCTGGATGAGTCGTTGCAAACATGGTGACTGTCAAGTAAAGGGAATCGTGTTGAGTGCCGGTGAAGAGCCTTGGACTGGTGTGAATCATGTAGATTTCTGCGCCTTTGTCAAAAAGTCTTACAGTTAGAAGAAACTTGGAGCCTTTAGGTTGCATCTTACAAGGGTTTTACCTACATGGAGGATCTTTAGGGGTTGTAAGCAGCCCCCGAAGGAGATTTTAGCCAGGAGGGGGAAGGAAAAGCACAGGCACATCTTCAGAAATAACAGCTAAATGCATAGATTTCTGTTAAATAAGTCAACACAGACTCATTGCCTGCCTGCCTGCCTGCAGATCCATCATTCAAAGGTCCATTCTGAGCCATGATAGACCCTTTTCATCCATGCTGTAGGTTGGTGGTTCCCAATGTTGGAGCCGAGACGCTTCCCAAAGGTCCCAAACACAATAAAATAAAGATAAAAAGTCAAAGGTAGTTAAGGAGTTGAGGAAAACAGGAAATGTGCAGCACGAAACTTGTTTTTTTCAGCAACTTTACATCTTTAAAGCTCGATAAGTCTGCAAAAGAATCAATGCTAAGCTCTCACTTTGGTTGATTTGCTCACTAAGAGCACACATAACGTCATGTTAAGGATTGAGAACCCGCTCATCCGCTGTTAGGAACCAGTGTTCCCAACACCTGAAACCCGTTTTATCATTTGAGTTCAATCTACAACTACTACTACAAAACAACCCGCCTCAAACTTCGCCGCTTTCCAAGCCGCGTCCTAATACGTCCGTACGATTTCCATTTAAGTAGAGATCTGTGAAGACGATCTCCCTCTTTTCTTTGTTTGCCAAGAAAAGTGCAAAGTTCTGAGAGCCGAGTTTTTGAAAAAATTTTGGCTGATGCTGCAACAGGAGAGGATTTAACACCTTTAAAACGCAGAGGGATTGATATAGTAAAAGTCGGCCGTGTGATAGCGTAGCGCCGCGGCCGCCGCCGCCGCCGCCGCCGCCGCCGGTCCGCTCGGTGCCAAGAGATACTTAAACAAAACAACACATTGAGCCCGTGCCAGTAAGCTATATTATTATCTTCATTCGAACTAATTGCCAGGCCAAACAGCGACACATATGCACACGCAGGCTTCAACAACCACTCGTCATTAGGGACTTTAGCTGTGGTGTGCCATCCCTGTTGTCATGACGACGAGGCACTGAAATTTTTTTTTTTGGCTTGGAAGCTGTCACATAGTGTAAGAGAGATTTTTTTTTTCTTTTTTTGTGGAGGCACACAGGTTTAAAAAGGTTTTAACGGCTCGTGGCGAAACGCGGCGACGGGTTTTGTCGGGGCGAGCGATAAGAAAAGGCCCCGGGGCTTCTCCTGGTTGGTTCATCTTACGGGGATCGCCTCAGATGATCCCTTTATCGTTGTTGTTGTTTCCGCACTTCCTCGTACTTTTTACGAGCGCGTCTCAACGTTTACGATCAACTGTCACTGAAGTCACGCGGTCGCGCGCAAAAAGCCGACACGACGCTCGCGGGATCGCAGACGAGCATCCCGGTGGTTTTTACGCTCACTCCATTAGCATCGCATATATATCCTCTGTAGGTCTTTTTATCTTTAAGACCATTGGGGCTGTGTGAGAGAGAGAGAGTGTGCTTTGCAAGCATGTGTGTCTGTTTGTGTGTGTGTGTGTGTGTGTGTGTGTGTGTGTGTGTGTGTGGGTGTGCCGTCAGCTAGCAGGAATGCATGGGTACCGCCAAAGCTAAGATGGCTGCCAAGCGCTAAGATGGCTGCCAGGATTCCACAGAGCGACAGCGCGAGAGAGAAAGAGAATCAGAGACAGAACGGGTGTGAGAGGAACTGAGGGAGAGAGACCTGAAGATGGACTCTCACTCCCGCAGAATGAGGGACGAGTGTTTGCGAAGAAGAAGAAAAATAAAAAAAGAGGGAGCTCTGGCCTTGTGTGTGTTCTCCCTCCTCTCTTTTCGGCCTAGAGTGATGAGGTGATTGTGTCTCTTTTTTTTGTTTTCTTGGTTTTGGCAACGCACACACGGGGTGAATAGTGCAGCAGCGTGCTGGCACGTAGTGCACGACTGCCACCCAAGATTAGGACGCTGATTTGGGCTTAGGAGATGTTGAGATCGGGGGGCCTCGTACTGGCTGCGAGGGGGCCACGTTCTCGCAAGTAGGACTTGGCCCAAGGCGCCCTTAAAGCTTAAGCGCTGTGGGGTAATTGGCTTGAATGGTATATATGATACAACCATAAAACTCCACAAGGCTGCATTACACATCTGAAGAAGAATGGCAGCCGGCGGGCCAAACAAAACGAGCTGAAGCAGGAAGGCTGCCTCCCTGGCCGCCCGGCCCTATAGATGTTAGGTAAACAGGAGATGCAGTTCAGACAATGCCCACAGTCCAGAAAAATGCACTTTTAACAAGTCAGCAGTGGCGAACGAGAGGTTTCTTGCTACCGCCGTTACCCAACTATCACCGTCAGAGGAAAGAAAAGGGGTTTTTGTTGCATGCTCTCCACACGCTCCAGAAATTACTATTATTCTTGCACTTCACCAGCCTACGCTTGATTAAAATAGTGAGTGCACATTTCAGCAGGTGGGAGTCTCAATAAAGAGAAGCTGGAAAAGTGGTTTTGTTGAGTTACACGAGCACAGAAAGGACACGTCTTGTAATTAAACCTTAACTAACTAGTTAGTGACGGTGAAGCTGAGGTGTGGAAGGCCTTTACTGAAGTAGTGTGAGTTCTTTCTCACACGCTGGAGGTTCTGTTCAATCCAAAACTGTACATTTAACAATTAGATGAGGTTTCTTTGAGATTTCCGTGCGTATTGAAGTGGATGGGAACACTTCAAAAGGTGCACACGGAAAAGACGAGTCTGCAAAAGCGATTTTTAAAAAAAAAGTAAAGGTGATTTTCCCGCTGTGACAGATTCCAGGAGTTGAGAGTATTGACCTTTTGTTTTTTTGCTATTTTACGACTTTCAACTGGGATTCAACCTAAGTGGAAATATGCACTTATCTTTAATCTCGGGCCCACGTCTGTCTCTCTTCACTGGAAAGAATGAACGAAGGCGCCATTTCCCATCGAGTTCCCCTCTGATGCTAACCTGCCCCCTCACCTTGGGCAGTGTCCAGACATCTGTCCACCTGACTAACCATCTCTCTCTCTCTCTCCCCACCACCTTTCTTTTTTTTTTCTCTTTCAGAACAATCAGGACAATCAGACAACTCAAACCAGCAAGGAGACACAGACGTCAAGCCCCCACCAAATGGTAGGAGCACGCCGCCGTATTTATTCCTCCTCATTATGTGCACGCATGCATGCGTTAAACATCGACGTACCTGTGCCGACACACACACACACCTTCACTCGGGCTAGAAATGCATGCACATGTACGCTGGCCGCCCCTCCATTCGGGCCTCTCCGTGTGCGAGTGCGTCCCGGCAGAGTTGGGTCTAAGTTTATTATGGTAAGGAGAGCTGATGGTACTGTAGCGTGGGGGCTGTGCTGGGATTGTGGCGGGCCACTCATAAATCACACTGACGTTATTGGAAGATGGGAACCACATGGCCGCTGCCGAGCCGAGCGCTGACCTCATGCGCTGTCCCCGCTGTGGTTAACCCCGGACAGGGATGGAGTGATGGAGGAAAATAGTAGAGGGTGGTGGGTGGGGGGGGGGATTGAAAAGAAAATGTGGGGAGAAGAGTGACGGACAGATGGAGGGAAGGATGAAATGGAGGAGAGAGAGTGGGAGGAACGATTTAAAAACTCGCCGTAGGACATCCTCCATACGCAGACACAGCATGGGCCTGCATGTTACCGATATGAGCGCTATAGAGGGTCACTGGGTTCATAGGAGCGTACATGCACGCCGGTGGGGAGTTCATGCGTCTTTGCTCAGCTGACAGAAAAATAGCAAAGAAAATAACTTTTTTGGATTCTTGCGTGGCCCGCCAGCTGCAGCACGGTGCACGCAAAGCACCTAGAAGCACAAACACGCTGCCGTTGCATGTGAAAAATCAAACATGTGATCTAACACATACATGAATTGGTACAAATTAGAAATGTTATCATACATAAATCATTAATCTCCGAGAGGAAGATGCCAGAATCTGGACTCTCTAAACTTCTCATTGCTAATCCAGATTGCTAACCTATGAGATACCTACTGCCCAAGTTATACCTGCTAACGGGCTAGCATAGGGCCTGGTACGCCCAGTTGTTGAAGCACAAAAATGCTAAAATTAAACAATTAATAATGTGTTTGCACTTTTCCTGTTTTCAATAGCTAGCTCACTTTTTTCCAGTTTAAGATTCAACTTCAAGTTTAGGTTAAGGGTGAAGCTAAAGTTGAGTTTAGTGAGTTAGCACCTGGGTTTGAAACTAAACCTGCGCCATCCAGCTGATACAGAATATCGGTCATTTGGAGTCACGATTCTGGCAATCTGGCATACGTCAGCCCGATATTCGTTTAATCCCGGTTAAAAAATACGGCCCTTTAGCTGCTAAATGTTCCACTTTGTTTACTAGCTAGATGCTAAATCAATCTGTCCTGCTTCTGAGCAGTTATCGCTGCTAGCAACACTGATGAGAGCCGAGGGAGTGAATCAAAAGTTGTGGGCTTGAAAACCAAAACAGCAAGTTAAAATATACCTAAAATGCTTTGTATAACTATGTTTTTTTTGTAGGTTTGTCAAAAAGTCAAGTACAAAAGTCCAACATAAGTAATCGCATGATATGTAAACATTTAAAAACATGATTTTGATTACGTTAAAGTTAGATTGGGACAGAAGTTTAGGTTCAAGATACGGGCTGTTGTTAAGATATACAGCGGTGAAGTGTCATTCTGCTTTGTTTTAAAGCTCTTTTTTATACTATGGCTATTAATAATTTGAGTAACAGTGGCGTGGCACTTTAATTACAGAACAGCAACACATCTAAATCTAAAAAAAATACTGAGGGGGCAAAAAACACAAGCAGTCAGATGTTCGTATATTCTTTATAAACAACAACTAAATCTCACAGTGTCACAATCCATCACAGTTTCCAACCAGTTTCAGTGCCTGCAGTGTAACTAGAACTGATAGAAAAGATGGGAAACAGATACCTGAGTTGAAGTTTTCTTCGAGGTTTACTGCATCAGCGAACTCAAATGCAGACGTGTGAATCATGATACGTCGTCGCTCTTACGCTCCATATGTGTGTCTAATAAGTGTTTGCATGACGATACATGAAGATCACAACATCGTACATGACGCAGCCGTCGCTTGTTGGACCTGATCGGTTGTGTATGTCGGATTGTCAACAGTGGAGGGGAAAAAAAAAACATGAACGCGTCCAAACCAAAGGCCTGTTGCATCTTATAGAAAACACATGGGCCCACTGGATGACACTCGCGGCGCTGTGTCGGGGCCTTTCCCTTTGCACACATGTGTTTTTCAGCTCTGCCCGTGTGCCGACTGTGTCTCCTATGTGCGTGTAATTTTATGCATGTTTGGTACATGCAGTCTGCTCTCACACACTGCTCTCTCTCTCTCTCTCTCTGTGTCTGTGTCTGTCTCTCGCCCAGGCCACTTGAGTTTCCAGGACTGCTTTGTGACTTCAGGCGTGTGGAACGTAGCCGAGCTGGTCCGCGTGTCACAGAGTGAGTCATGGCTGATAATTTCTCACGTCAATCACTGTCTCCGTCGCTCCTGGTGCACTTAATGTGATACTTTCTTACACATTAGGAGCAAAATTAGCAGCGTACTTCATACACCGAGTAGTAAACGCCTCTTTTTTTCTCTGTTTTAGAGAGAAAAGTTCACATTTATGGGAAATGTTAGTGTTTAAAGAGTTTTTTTTAAACTTTAAAACCATCATCAGGACACCTAGTCAGCACACCTGTTCCCCATGATGATATAAACGTTGAAATTAAAAGTGTGGGATTAGATCAGTAACTCTAAATATTTGTGAAGAAATGTCAGTTTATTTGTTTTTAAAATTAAAACAACAAAAAAACAATAAAAACAAACCATGCTAGCAGCTCTGTAACTTGAACACAGGTTTGAAGTTAAAGCTAGCATCCACATGTGAAGCTAATGTGCTCACAGTGCTAATGCTAGCATCATATTAGCATGCTAACATTTGCTAATTGGCGCCAAAGTCAAAGTTTAGGTGATGACAAGACGTGCCATTAGTCTGCAGGTTGTAGTTCCACAGTTAAATGGGAATCAACCCAGTGGGTGTTAAAGGTAACTCTTGCCTTTTAGCCGCCATCTTGGTAGCGCCTCCAGGCAGTTATTTTGAGCTAACATGTCCAGGCTCATGTTTAAATGAATAAGGGGAAAGAGAGCTGTAACCAACTTCAGTGGTGAGGAGGACATAAAAACTGTAGGTTTGTTTTAAACTGCAGGAACTTGCGGGTCGTTTTAGGGCATTTAACGAGGTCCGAACGCCATTAAACTCATTGCAGAACCTCCTTCAGAGATGTTCTCAGGGGAGAAAATAGGATCTACTCCAGTGTGTGGACTTCTGAAAGCCCCTCTGGTTAAACTCAGAGATGATAAGGGGCATCTTTCCTGCCCTCTTGATGTCCTCGTCAAGTAAACGTCTTGTCATCTCTAACATCAACAACAAAAATTCACCACATAGGCTAACATAACAAACCTCCTCGCTCTAGTTCCAATGTGCTGATAGAAGTTAAGTAACTTTCACTGCTTTGCATGAACTTTGAGTCAACGTTGCATCAAAGGTGTTGGATCCTCCACCACAATGGAGCAAAGGCGATTAGGAAAAAGCCACCGATATAGACTTATAAGTCAAATATAATGAAAGTTTGGTCACTTTACCCAACAATAAGGTTTAAAAAAGTCATTTTTATCCCCACTGGTTTTTCTTCTACTACATTTGCACACGTGACATCCTGCCTGTGTCACATACTTCCCAGTTCGACTGTTATGAAGCATGATTAGCTTTTTGGACGAAAGGTGGTGTCATCCCACCACCACTAGCATCTTTGGCGTGGCAGAATTCTCCCATACATTTTTATTCAGGACTCATTAAGTGGCTAAACTAAATCAAAAGTTTGACCTGACTTGGATTCATCCTCTGGGGACCATGAATGCTGCAAAAATAAAAATCCATCCAGTGTTTGTTTAGATGCATCAGTTTGACCCAAATCGATGAGCACCCATTGGATCCAGAGGCCTCCTGCTAGCATAGCTTCTTTTCTATCATCCTTATTATTGTTCAGTATGTTCTGACATGTGGTGCGTCTCCTCCTGTGCGTTCACTCCTCAGCCCCGGTGGCGACAGCGACGGGCCCCAACTTCTCTCTGGCCGACCTGGACAGCCCAGGCTACTACAACATCAACCAGGTGACCCTGGGACGCCGCTCCATCACCTCCACCCCCTCCACCAGGTACCCACACAAGCACATAAAAGCACACCTCCTTTTTGATTATGCACTAATATTCTTCCTTTCTGAGTTTCCTAACCTCTTGACTGTATTCCTTATGCTCAGCCTGCTCTGCTTTTTTGATTGTGGTCTTTCTCTTCCTTCTCTTTCTCTTCCTCCTTCCTCATCACTAATCCTTCCCTCTCATTTTTCCCACCGATCCGTCCGTCCGTCACCCCACCGTCTGCGTTTGTGTCTTTTGTGTCTGTTTTTTCCCCCCTTCCTCTTCTCCGTCGTCCTCCTCTCCCGCTCATCTTACGCTGCAGGACTGAAATGGAGCTTTATGCAAGTCTCCCACGGAGGTAGTTACACTCATTACAGAATATCTCCCTTGATACTAATGTAACACAGACCGCGGCATCACACTCGAATAAAAGCCACACACGCATGCTGTCACAAGGATACGCACATGCTGTACGTTCACAACCTCCCTCCTTCCCCCTGCCTTTTATTTTATTGGTCACAGATGTATGAGTCTATAAGAATCTGCAAACACACACAAGAATGCGTTCCAGCATCCACACTTTCTGGTGCTCGGGTTCTAGCGTGAGGCTGCTTTCGGGCCGATATTCTGGCCTCACGTTTGTTCTCGCTGCTCGTGTCGCTTCGCACCCGCCTGGCTTTAAGATAAAAAAACAAAACAGAAACCTTGACATTTGTCCTCAAAAAGCCCCACAAATAATATGTTTACATTCATTAGAGTCCCAGTTTAACTCCTTCCTCTTCCTCTTAAATAAAACTCTTTGTCCTTTTTTTTTCCTCTCAGCTCCAACAAGCGCAAGTCCATTGACGACAGCGAGATGGAGAGCCCGGTGGATGATGTCTTCTACTCGGGCCGTTCCCCAGCGGCCGGCAGCAGCTCTCAGTCCAGCGGGTGGCCTAATGATGTGGATGCAGGTAGTCACCGCCGCCCCATCAGATCCTGCACGCATTCCAAATGCCTCTCCGGGAGCCGGGCTGAGGTCCACGTCAATTCAGGCGCAGAAACCAAACTGAATTTGTTTTTTTTAAATATAAAGGCTGCAACAAAGGAAGCTCGTGAATTTTAAAAACATCCAAATCCAGTTTAATCTGACATTACAGGAATAGTTCCACATCTTGGGAAATACTTATTTTCTTTAGGTTGATTGTAAAACACTCCTCATGTCTTGAAAAACAAGCTAGCCAGCTGCTAGTTAGCATAGCTTAGCATAAGGACTGTAAACAGGGGGAAACAGCTAGCCTAGCTCTGTCCACTGGTAACAAAATCTGACTGTCTGATCTGCACATGTTGTGGTTTTTTTTTTTTCTAGAAATGATCTGACAGACTTTCTTCAGATTAAGATATAACCTTTTAATCAGTGAGCTTTGGAGATAGATAACGTTACCTTTAAAGACACTCGTGCCAGCTGTTTCCCCCCTCCCCTACAATCCAGCCATCGTGCCGTGCTAAGCTAACCAGCTGCCGCCTTCAGATTTAGCGTTAGGAATCAAATATTTCCCAAAAATGTCGAACTCTTCCCCTAAATCCAAACACAGACGGTGTTTATTCCACGTTAACTGATTTGAAATGGACCAGCAGCCACAGCTCACCTTTTTTTTTTTCCCCACCGTCACACCTCCCTCCCCACCACATTTCCCTTCACCTCTGCGTTGTGTTGACCCTTCTCTTCATCACCTGATCCCCCCCCCTCATCATCATCATCATCCCCACTCTCACCATCTTTCATCCACACCTTCCACTCCACTTAATGAGACTCCCGACCCCGACAAGCACAACAGATCTCTCCGAGGTAAAAGGGATTGTCACTTTGCCAGCCGGCTTATAGCATCCTTTGTCACATGCAGCAGGGACTTAAAGAGCCAGCGTAACACTTAAAAACATATTTTCACAGATTCTCTCAGCGGTTTGCAGGTAGTTTGGGGCTTTATTTGCAGATGTTTCAAGACGTGTTGTGAATTAAACTCCAATCTTAGAACTTCTGCAAATAAAACCGAGCCTGTCTGGCAAAAAATGTGAAGATATGTGTTTTATTTTGTTCTGAACTGGCCCTTTAATCAGACCACAGCCTACTGGCTAGCGTTTGTTGTCTGAGTTGTCAGTGAGAGGAGTGGCAGAGATGGATACGTTCTGCTCGTTTAGCTCGTACGGCGTTAAAAAGCGATTTCGCTCCAGGATTGTGTGCGTGTGTGCGAGTGTCAAAGCCACATACCAGAGATATAACTCAAAAAAACTCCAAAACGCTGCAAAAGTTTTACATAGTTCCTACCAACATGTATAATTATGTTCATTTATATAACTTCAGTTGGGTCGTTAAAAC